AAGACAGAGATAGCCAATAAGAAGCCCAACCACCAGCCAACTGTTGTATACCCAATATACCATCTGTGTATTCATTTAGGACTAAAGGGTGCCAGAGTCAAACAGGATGAAGAATATATATATATATATATATATATATATATATATATATATAGAGAGAGAGAGAGAGAGAGAGAGAGACAGACAGAGAGAGAGAGAGAGATGTGTGTTTATAGACCTTAAGTGTTGAACATCAAAAATTTAAAATCTGCTCTATGAAATGCTTCAAAATTCACAAAGTTTTGAGTGCTACATACACCCACAGTGTCATTGAGAGCACTCTGGATTCCTGAATTTCCATAGTTCGGGTGGACACTTGCCTTAAACTGTGTGGAAGAAGAATACAGATCAGAACAAGGAGCTACAAAGGATTTTGCTGTTTGGTTGTTTTTGAGGTAGAGTCTTACTAAGCAATTCTCAGAATGGCCTGGAACTCACTCTGTAGATGAGACTGCCCTCACGCTCACAGAAATCCTCCTGCTTCTGCACCTCAACTGCTAGAATTAAAGGGATGTGCTACCATATCTGGTCTAACATTATTTACCCGGTTTAAAAAAATAAGTAAGTCTATAATTACAAGCAGTTGTGTTATTTACCCAAAAAATTTTCTCTAGAAATATAAGTAAAAGCAGTGCCTATACTTCACAAATGTCTACTCACAGATTATTTTAAAGGTAAAGTGAGATGAAACGATAACATAAGGGAGATTTTAGAGTAATGAAAATGTTTAAATACTATGCTTCCTCCTCCTCCCTCTTGAAGGAAAGGTGAGGTTCTGAATAGACCCTCCAACACAGTTGGAGGAGAGAGAATAGCTCCTTTCAGTGAAGGTCAGCACAGTATATAGGGACCATATGGGAAATGCTCTGGAATAATTAAAACAGCAGTTGTATATACAAGGTTCTTTTGTGCACCAGGAATACATCCTGGTTCCACTGCCTGAGGTCCCTTAGACTGCGAAGTCCTTCTAGCTGAGACCCATGTTCCCATGGAGGGCACTCCCTTAACCTAGAGACAGGAAAGAAGTCCTAGTCCCTACTTCAAATGACTTGACAGATTTATATGTCCCCACCTGGATGGCATTGCCCTACATGTGGAATTGGGTGGGGGGATGGGAGGGGAGGGTGGTCAGGGTACATGTGAAGGGGGGAGAGAGGGTAAGAGGTAGGGAGGGAGGGAGAGGGAGAGAACTGGGATCGACATCTAAAAGAAAATAATAATAATAATAATAATAATAATAATAATAATAATAATAACAATGATAATAACAGCAGTCTTAAATGCAGATCCAATTAGCTGAGCCATAAGTCAGAATCACATTCAACAGCTCTCATTGTGTTATCCTACTGTCTGTCAGCTTATGTCTAATATGTGCCCTGAACACTGCACATATTTGAACAGAGCATGGTGTTTTTGAAGCTTTTCAACAAATTAGAAGTTTATTAAAATAACAGCATAAGGTGCATATATAAATACTCACACCTTGAATTGCCTCAGCTTTACACCTATGTAAAGAATTCTGATATTTTCAAGGTTTTCTTTTTAAATTGGCGTGTGTGTGTGTGTGTGTGTGTGTGTGTGTGTGTGTGTGTGTGTATGTGTCTTTCTTTCTTTCTTCCTCTTATTCTTTCTTTCTACCTTTCTATCAACATGGGGGTCATGTCCATGAAAGGTACAGTGGCCAATGAGGCCAGAGGCATTGGATCCTCTAAAGATGAAGTTTACATGGACCATGAGCTATTCAATATGTGTGCTAGGAACTGAACTCAGGTCCTCTGCAACAGCAATATGTGCTTTTAAAAGCTGAGTCACCTGTTCATCTCAAAAACAATTCTGATTTTTAAAATAGGAAGGTCATAAGTTTGAGTGGAATGGTGCTTATTTTTATATTTATATGTTCAATGTGGAAGGCAGGATACAAGCTCTAGAGAAATTTTACCTGGGTAAATAACACAACTCTCAAGATGTATTTTACATAAAACCGAAACAAAAAACAACAGAACCACACACAATGCCAAACTACTATCTACTGTATATAGCCACACAAGTTAAACAAAGGTTGCTGTTGGTATTTAGGAGTCACTATAGGATTGAGGGAGGATGATGTGCATATGCTTTTTGTGTTTCTTTGTTAGCTTGTCATTTTTTGTGTTGCATTTTATTTTGTTTTCTGAAATGGTTTCATTATGTACCCCTAGCTGGCCTGGAATTGGGTATGCATACCCAATTACCTGAAAATGAAAATGATTTCCCTTTTTGACTCAGAGTACGATTCAAACGTGTCTGACAACATACACAGATATTTTTGGAAATTTGTGACCATATACTTCCCAATAATCCAACTTAACCAGTATGATAAACGTATTTACAGAGTGACATCTCCCATCACCTTATCATACTGGTTAATGAATAAAGTATTGTTGGTCAATAGGAAAGCAAGACAGGTAGTACTAGGAGACAAGAAGGATTCCAGGAAGTAGTAAGGAGGAGTCAGCATGGAGAGACTGGGGAGACCAGATGCCGGCCCCATTCCCCGTAAGATGAAACCACTTGGAAATTCTTAGATTAACAGAAATGGGTTAATACTTAAGACAGAACTAGCCAATAAGAAACTAGTACCTGGCCAACAGCATTATATCAAATATAGAGTCTCTGTGTGTTATTTGGGGCTAGGGTGGTGGTGGGCCCAGGCGCCGGGGGAAAAAACCTACTACATACATGAAGGTTTGCAATGTGAAAGTGCTTGATTTAAGTCAGAGCCACATAGGTCATGGCCAACCATGAAATGTTCTAGTCACACAGTTTGGGAGACACAGTTTGGGAGGTTTTATTTTGTTTTGATTTTTAGTTTTTTGAAAGAGCATCTCTCTGTGTGTAGCTCTGGCTATCCTGGAAATCACTCTGTAGACCAGGCTAGACACAAAATCAGAGATCTACATGTCTTTGCCTCCCAAGTGCTAGGACTAAAGCCATACACCAACACTGCCCAAGTAAAAGTCAGATTATAAAAGTAAACAAATTCATAAAATACTGTGGAGAATCAGAAATTACTTTTGAATTCTTCAAGTTAAAGACTCAAATATCACCATGTATTCAATATATAATCCAGATGACTGAGACCCCTATCATTTTACAAATTCATCATTCCCAATTGTGATTATGCTTCCAAAGGTAAAAAAAAAATCAACAAAATCAGCAACAAAAGGAAATTAAACACCAGGGAATTCCTGTTTCAAGTACAGTAAATCTTACAGAGTGTGTACCATCCCAACAAATGGTCTACAGAGACGATCAAAGCATGGTTGACCCATCATAGTGGCATCGTCTATATATTTGTCCCACTCCAAGCATTGTTACTACTTGAAGTCTTCAATATTTGCAGTGTAATATATATTTACATTTTAGTGAAATATGACTCTCAAAATGATTGCTGACGTCCATAGGTAGTTGAAGGTATATTCTACCCATGAAGATTTCTCTTTAATTCCACTTCAACTGGAAAGCACAATGCAAATGATTAGCTCTTTGGAAGTCATTAAAATGCTAACTTAGTAAATCACCAGCAGAGGTACTAAATACATCTTTGAAGGGCTAAGCTCCCTGGGATTATTACAGTCATCAAACTCTAGACCTTGTCTTAACTTTTAAATCAATACGCTGAAATTTGCTTGATAATTAAAATAACCATTCAAAAATTCTTAAAGTATTGTTAATATGTAGTCACAATGCTATTCCACTTAAATACTTCTCATTCATTCTCCCCAAAAATAACTAATGGTACCTTATTAATAGCACTGTGCCTTTAAAGGACCTGTCAGGACATTTCCCTGAGAAAATGAGGTATCAGTCATTTTCATTAATGCTAATAAGCCAAAACCCAGAGTTAATGAAACAATTTCAAATAAAATCACCACTACAAAATCCTAAATACTGTTGGGTGAAAATGTTAATTTAAACTAAACTAAACTATTATATACAATATATATGGATACATGATATGTATTTAAAATATGGGTTATAAAAAACACTACCTCTGCCAAATGCTGTCTTTATAAAATCAGGTGAATATCCTGCTTTAGTTAGTCTGCAAACAAAAAACAAATATATCTATGTTATTCATCAGAAAGAAACACCACATTTTAGGCAAAGGCCAATTCCAAAGCAGTTCCAAGCTCAAAATCTGCTGAAAAAAAAAAAGAAAAGAAAAAGAACAACCACTGATCTGCCCAGATCCATTTCTACAGTTCCACACTTCTTATGGAGGTCTGGCTTCTTCTTAGAGGTGCTCATGTTTACAACTGGATGTTTCTATAAATTGTACTTGGTTGAGTGCTATCTTACAGAGTATACATACATTCATGAAGTAGAACATACTAGATAAACTAGTAGAAATGTGTCATTTTATGACTAAGGAAACTGAGGCAGGGGCTTTAACTGACTCTGAAAGGAAAAGGTCAGGGCAACAGTGCAGAACTGCTCTGAGTTACCCACACTTCCCCTTGTAAAATTTAAAATTCCACTAAATGAGGAGACTATTGCATTTCTAAAGTTTGTATCTTTAAGTGTTACATTTCTAAAAAAGTGCTACTTAATTCCTGTTTCTTAGACTTGAAATAGAACAGCTTTATTTACTAGGAATGAAGTACTCTGAGAAAGCATCACAGTGTCAGAAAGGCATCCTTTCTTTTGCCCACTCTTGTTTTTTCTACACTCATCATTCTGTAATGTTTTTACCTGACACTTTTAATAGTGTGATTTGTAAAAGCATCTTGAAGTGTCCCTGAACTAACCAAACAAAAGTATTTCACACAAATTAAACTTCAGAGTACTAAAACTGACCAGATATTTTATAACATTATGAAATTTACTACATTTATTTTAAAAAAATATATTTATACAAGCATTACACAATGAAGAAACTATTTCAAATAAAGTATTCTTATGAATACTTACTTTTGTCTCATCAGAGCATTTTTTCTCTTTAATTCATTGACGTTTCTTTCCAAAGCACGAGCTTCCAGCTTGAAGAAAATAATAGATTTTGAAACTATATCTATAAAATCTCAAATGTCTAGAGCATGATGGCATATAACTTCACGACTAAAAACAGGTTAAGAATCTGCACTTATCTTTTTTCACCCCCATCACCATGCTTCTTTCAGTGACCCCCATCTCCTGACTTCTGCTGGAGTGCCAGACCTCTCCCAGAATGCCTATCCATGCAGGACCACCCTGAGTCCCCGCCTACCTGATCTTTGGCCCTCATGACCGGGACCCTGCTGGAGGTGAATCTGGGACCAGTTCAGGTCCAATCCCTGCCATACCCTTCCCTGGAAACTTCCGGGTTAGCCCTGAATGTAGCTCCCACCTACATCCAGTAGCCATCGAGAACACTCCTAGAACTTTGATCCACAAACCACCCACCCAGAATCTGCCCTCACCCCAACCTGTGCCCTAACTAGGCCACTGTCCCACTGCTTTCATTGAGCACTGGACCACAGAGCAGGTCCAATAATCCCGCCAACTTCAGGGAACTTCCTGGATCTATTCTGAGCACACTAAACCACATCAAGTCCCCTCCTGCATAATCTTTGAATCCCATCGCCTGGCCTCTGCCTGATACCTAAATAGCCAGGCCTCTGCCAGAGACCAGACTATCCATGCTGGACAACTGAGTCCCTGCCTACCTGATCATTGACCCCAATTGCCAGGCCCCTGCCTGAGAGGTAAGCTCCTAGAGAGTTTGGACCACACAGAGATACAGACATCGAACTCCTGACACACTTAAGCCCACTGGGGGAGTAGCATAAACAGGAGAGAAACCCCACATGTACCCATTGGAAGAAGTGAAGGTAAGGTGACAATACAAGAAAACACCTAACAATAGAAAGACAAGAAGGAAGTCATCAGAATCTAGGGAATCTACACCAACTACTAGACCTGAAGACTTGAAAGCAGATGAAGCAGAAGAGGAGGACTTAGAAAATATCGTCATAAAAATGACAGAGGCACTCAGAGACTATACGAGAAAATCCCTTAGAGAAATGAAAGGAAAAATATGCAAAAAAAAAAAATGGAAAAAAATGAACAAATTTCTTAAAGAAAGTAAGAAAAGTCAAGAAAAAAACAGATGAAGGAAATAATTCCAACAGTTCAAAACCTGAAAACTGAAATAGAGACAATCAAGAAAACACAAACTGAGGGAATGCTGGAAATAGAAAAATTGCACAAATAATAAGAACTATAGATGTAAGCATAACCAACAAAAACCAAGAGATGTAAGAGAGAATCTCGGGCACAGGAGGAAATGATTCATTGACCAAAGAAAATCTTAACTCCAACAACTCCTTAACAGAAAACACCCAAGAAATGTTGGACACTGTGAAAAGGCCAACTCTATCAATAATATGTATAGAAGAACTTGAAAAAGCCCAGCTCAAAGGGGCAGAAATCATGTTCAACAAAATCAATGAAGAAAACTTATCCAAGTTGGAAAGGATACGTCCATGAAAATACAAGAAGCATATCGAACAACAAATAAACTGGACCAAGGAAAAAGAACCCCTCGACACATATAATCAAACATATGAATGAAGAAAGAATTTTAAGAGCAGCAAAGAAAAAAGACCAGGTAACATATAAAGGCAGACCAGTCAAAATTACACCGGAATTTTCCATGGAAACTCTCAAGGACCATAGGTCCTGGATATGTGGTTCTAAAAGTGCTAAAAGTCCATGGATGCCACCCCAGGATACTATGCCAGCAAAACTCCCAATCACTATAGACAGAAAAAAAGAATCAGCCAGATTTTCACAATACATATCTACATATCCAGGCCTACAGAAACTTCTGTAATGAAAACTCCAACACAAGGAAGTTATCTAGGCTCATGAAGACATAGGCAATAGATGACCCCAATTCATCAGAACCCAACTTAAAAACAGGGCAAATATATTCAGAATACCATGGCCAACAAAATATCTAAAGCAAATAAGCATTAACAATCAATGGTACTTACTTTCCCTCAACATTAATGGTATTAAAACACATATAAAATAACACAGGCTAAATGGATAGCAGGACAGAATCCATCTTTCTGCTGAATACAAGAAACACAGATAAGCTTCAAAAGCAAACATTAACCCATAGCAAAGGGTAGTGAAAAGAACTTCCAATCAAATGGACCCAAGAAACAAGCAGGTGTGGCTCTCCTAATATGTAATAAGTTAGATTTTTAACCAAAATCAATCAAAACAGATGAATAAAGTCATTTCGTATTCACCGTAGAGAAACCCATCAGCACAAAATCTCAATTCTGGACATATATGTCCCAAATACAAAGGCACCCACATTTGTAAGAGAAGCACTACTAAAACTCAAAGTTTACATAAAACCTCACATACTCACAGTGTGATAATTCAACACCCCAATCTCACCACTAGACATTTCCACCAGATACAAACTTAACAAATAATCAAAAGAACTAACAGAAGTTATGTCTCAATTGGGTTTAGCAGTCATCTATAGAACATTCCAACCAAACGCAAAAGAATGTACCTTCCTCTCTGCTCCACATGGAACCTTCCCTAAAATCGACCACATAACAAACCTCAACAGATACAAAAAATTGGAATAGTCCCCTGTATTTTATCAGACCGCCATGCTTTCAAGCTGGAATTCAACAACAACACACCTCGCAGAAATCCTACAAACTCACAGAAACTGAACAGTGCACAATTGCACCTGGATCACAGAAGAAATAATGAAAGAAATGGAGGACTTCCTAGAATTCAACAAGAATGAGGACACAACATATGCGAACTTATGGGACACCTTGAAAGAGTGCTATGAGGGAAGTTCATTGCGCTAAGTGCCCATATGAAGAAAACTGAGAATAGTCACATTAGAGAATTAACAGCAAAACTGAAAGCCCTAGAACAAAAAGAAGCAAACTCACCCCAGAGGTACAGAAGCAAGGAAATAATTTGAGGGCTGAAATCAATAAAGTAGAATCTTGGAAAACAATACAAAACTCAATGCAATAAAGAGTTCACTTTTTGAGGAAATGAACAAGATAGACAAATCTTTATCCAAACTAACACAAAAGCAGAGAGAGAATACACAAAATAACAAAATCAGAAACAAGAAAGGAGACATAACAACCGACACTGGGGAAATCCAGACAAGTTTCAGGTCATACTTTGAAACCCTATGCTCCAGAAAATTTAAAAACTCAAAGTAAATGGACAAATTTCTCAATAACTATCACTAACTAAAATTAAATCAAGAACAGATGAGCACCTTAAAAATACCTATCATCCCCACTGAAATAGAGGCAGTCATTGGAAGCCTCCCAACCAAAAAAGTCCAGGGCCAGATGGCTTCAGTGCTGAATTCTACCATAAATTCCAGCTAAAGCTAATAACGTAACTCCACAAATTGTTTCACAGAATAGAAGTAGAATGTTAATTACCAGACTCCTTTTGCAAGGCCACAATTACCTTGGTAACTAAGCCAAAAGAAGACACAACAAAAAAGAGAACTAAAGACCAATATTCCTCATGAATATTGAGGGTAAAATTACTCAATAAAGTACTGGAAAATCGAATCCAAGAACACATCTGAGAAATCATCCAACATGACTAAATAGGCTTCATCCCTGGGTGACAGGGACAGGTCAACATATGAAAATCTATCAATGTGATCTACAATATAAACAAACTGAAAAAGGAAAACAACGTAATCATGTCACTGGATGCTGAAAAACCTTTGAGATAGAGGTCTTGGAGAGATCAGGGATAACAGGAACATATCTAAATGAATAAAAGCAATATACAGTAAACCAACAGCCAACATCAAACAGAGTGGAGAGATTAAGGCAATTCCTCTAAAATCAGGAACAAGACAATGCTGCTCTCTTACTCTCAATATCTCTTCAATAATGTACTTGAAGTCCTAGTTAAAGCAATAAGACAACAAAAGGAGATCAAGAGGATACAAATTGGAAAGGAAGAAGTCAATCTGTCACTATTTGCAGGTAACATGATAGTTTACATAAGTGACCCAAAATAACTCTACCAAGAAACTCCTACCACTGACAAACACCTTCAGCAAAGTAGCAGGATACAAGATAAACTTAAAAAAATCAGTAACCCTAATTTATTCAGACGACAAAGAGGTAGAGAAAGAAATCAGAGAAACATCACCCTTTACAATAGCCACAAGCAACATAAAGTATCTTGTTGTAAAGCTTACCAAACAAGTAAAAGACCTATATAATAAGAACTTTGTGACTCTAAAGAAAGAAATTAAAGACGATACCAGAAAATGGAAAGATCTCCCATGCTCTTGGATAGGTAGGATAAACATAGTAAAAATTGAAATCTTACCACAAACATTCTCAGTTTCAATGAAATCCCTGTCAAAATCCCCACACAATTTATCACTGATCTTAAAACAATAATAATCAAGTTCATATGGAGAAAAAAATGACTGAGTATAAAAAAACAACCCTGTACAATAAATGAACTTCAGGAGGCATGACCATCTCTGATTTCAAGCTTTACTATAGAGATGTACTCTTGAAAACAGCCTGGTATTGGCAGAAAAATATACAAGTAGATCTATATAATCAAATAAAAAATCCTGACATTAACCCACACACCTACAAACAACTGATTTTTGATAAAACACCTAAAAGCATACAATGAGCAGAGGAAATCATCTTCAAAAAATGGTGCTGGCACAACTGGATGATAGTTTGTAGATGACTGCAAATTGACCCATGTCTATAGCCATACATAAAACACAAGTCAAAATGGATCAAGGACCTCAACATAAATCCATCCACACTGAACCTCTTAGATGAGAAAGTAGGAGGTGCCCTTGAAAAATTGGTACAGGAGACTGCTTTCTTAACATACCTCCGTTAGCACAGACAATTAATAAATGGTAGGACCTGAAACTGAGAAGTTTCTGTAAGGCAAAGGACACTTGACAAGACCCAACAACAGCCCACAGACTGGGAAAAGATCTTCACCAATCATACATCGGAGAGAGGGCCGATCTCCAAAATATACAAAGAACTCAAGAAACTAGTCACCAAACACCAAATAACCTATTAAAAATGGAGCACAGATCTGAAGAGAGAAATCTCAATTGTGGAAATCAAAAAGGCTTCAAGACTCTTAAGAAAGTACTCAACATCCTTAGCTACCAAGGAAATGCAAATCAAAACAATTTTGAGATAACATCTTACCAGAAATACTAAAATTAGGAACACCATGAGAACTTATGCTGGAGAGGATATGAAGAAACAGGATAACCCCTACACTGCTGTCAGGAGTGCAAACATGTACAGCCATTTTGTAGATCATTATGGTGATTCTAAGGAAAAATGGGAATCAGTCTATCACAGGACCCAGCAATCCCACACTTAGGCATATACCCAAATGATCCACATCCATGCAAAAAAGGTATCTGTTTACTATATTCATAGCAGCATTATTTGTAATTGCAAGAATCTAGAAGCAACCTAGATGCCCCTCAACAGAAGAATAGATAATGAATATGTGGCACATTTACACAATGGATTACTACTCTGCCAGAAAGAAAGAATGTAATATTGAACTTTGCAGTCAAGTGGATGGAACTTGAAGAAACCATCCTGAATGAGGTAACCCAGTAACAAAAAAGAGGGACATGGTACTTATTCACTTATATGGATTTTAGACATAGAGCAAAGGATCACTGGCTTATAATTTACAGTGCCAGTGATGAGACTAGGATACAAGACATTTCTAAGAGATTCATACATGATCTCTCATGGGGGGGAGGAAAAGATCTCCTGAGAATATTCAGAGTGGTGGGGCAGTAAGTGCATAGGGGACTAGGAGAAAGAGAAGGGCAGGAGAGGAAAACACATGACATGAGACTAGAAAGATTGAGTCAGGGAAGGAATAGACGAGAAAAAGAGAGAGAGAGAGAAATACCATAAAATAGGGAGCCAATATAGGATTCTATAAAAAATGATTACAGAGAAATGTACAGAGACCTACAAGTCTCATCCCAATTTACAATTTGAGCAACATCTGCTAGGCTACTATAAATGCCCTTCCCTGATAAAGAGATTGATTACTTACTTATGTACAATAATTGAGCCCTCATCTAGAAGCTGATAGAAATAGAAGCAGATACACACAGCTAAACACTGAGCCAAACTGGAATCCAGATGCAGAGAGGGAGGACAAAACCAGGCTATAGAAACACATAGAGACAACTGACCTAAACAAGGAGGAGCTAATGGGTCCCAGAGTGATAGCTAGGAATCCAGCATTGGAACAACTCAGACCCCCTAAACATGGGTCTCAGAAGGCCTGGCCAGTCTAAAGGACCTCTGACAGTGTAACCAGGATGCATCCCTGATCCATAATAGGATTTTGGAGCATGTACCCCATGGAGTGATACTCCTTTCTCCTAGAGGCAAGAGGGAGGGCCTAGTTCCTACTCCAAATGATTTGACAGATTTAGATGACCCACCCAAGAACTCATCACCCTACATGTGGAGTGGGGAGATGTTATTTGAGGGTGGTGGTTGGGCATGGGAGGGTAGAAGAAAGGGAGCAGGAAGGGATGGAGCAGAAACTGGGATTCATATATAAAATAAGAAAAATAAATAAATATTATAAATAAATAAAAGAGAATTGGCACTTATTGTAGTCAATATAAAACATTTTTAATTTTGGGAATTATTCAAAAAGGGAATGAGTTTTAAGCCATACAAATGCATAAATGTAAAGCTGGAGTTTTATTGGTACTTGACAATTAATGTTGCTGTTTAAATGCAGTATCAGAGCCTAAAATCATTTGATGATGAAAATATCCAATCATAAGTGGCTAGCAGACTAACATAGAGCAAAGTCAATGGAAATGGATGGTCCTTAGGTCCATAATACTGGAAATTACAAATGTCTAAAACAGTTTCACAGAATGACAATACAGGTCAATTTTAATAACTAAATACAATCTGTACATATCACACTACTATTAAGTATAAGACCATTCACAAACACAATTGCAGCAGTTATTATTTGTATGTGTGTATTTGTTGGTAGTGTGCAGCACCATGCCCAACTTAGTTATAATAAATACCAAGAACCTGCAATACTCTCAAATAATCATTAATAAAAGCCAAACATATGGTATTCTACATGCTTCCCATTCTGTTGACTCTACAGATCAGATATAGAATATAGAGTACATTAGATAGATCAATGCAAAATGTAAGCTTACCATTTATAAGTAGCAAATACTAACACTCTTCAAATAAAAGGGACACTACTGTCAATAACTTTGCAATATACATGAGAATTGACTTTAGCCAACTAATGCACTTAACATCCACCGTAAATATAGCTTAAATATATTTTACTACTATAATTTTTTTAGCTAGGCAATGGTGGTGCACAACTTTAATCCCAGTACAAAGGAGGTAGAGGCAGGTGCATCACTAAGGCCACCTTGGTCTACAGACCTAATTCCAGGATTGCCATCAATACACAAAGAAACCTTGCCTCAAACCCCTGCTCCAAAAAGGATGTTTCTCTGTGTGTAATTATTTTCCAATTGTAATCATAAAAATCAATTTTAAACAAAAAGGAATTCAGTACAATACCCTGAGCTAGTAAAATGTTACAATTCACTTAACTGTTTTAAAATTTTATTTAGTTTTATGTGCATAAGTGTTTCTCCTGACTCTGATATACCTGGACTTATAAGGTGCTCACTGTATGACACATAAATATGAAGATGTACACATGTTAGGTGTGTGTGCATGCACACGAGTGTGATTGGAGGTGTCTTAAGAGGACAGAAGAGGGTCTAAATTCACCTGGAAGTAGAAGACAGGCAAATGTGAATCATCTGACTTGCTCAGAACCAAACACAGCTCTGGTCCTCTGGAAGAGCAGCAAGTGCTGAGCTGAAATACTGAGCTCTCTCTCCAACCCCCAAAACTCCTTCTCAAGACTTTGTGATTTTAAAACTAATTATATTCAGAGGGAAATGTACAAGTAAAGCACAGAAATAAAAGATTAATTCTCAGTGCTTCCTATGGTCTGGCCTAAATATGATTTAAATACTGGTAAAATTAATAAAATTCATAGAAAGTGATTATTTTTAAATACCGTCTATACCTTTAACTAATATAACATGAATAGTATATGTTAGGGGGACTTAAAAACTTACCCAATAGTCATGTTCCCTTTGTTCATGAGCCATAACCTAAAAAACAGTTATTAAAATTATTCATAAATAAAAAACTTTCATTGCCACCACTAAAATTCATGGCCCAAACCATAATTCCCACTGCCGAGGCATCTCTGAAGCATTATAACCATTTTGAAAGCATAATTTCACATATACAGATGATTTTCTCTCCTGAAATTTTAAACAAACCTGAACATAAGGTTTTTAATGCCAACAAACTGCAGAAGATGATCAACTACTAGAGTTTCCAAGGAACAGATAACAAGCACAACATGGGACTGTGATGGTGCCAGACAGTGCTGTGCTGTATAATACTCATTCCAAAAGAAAGGAAAGCTGCAGAAGTTTTTTATTTCAGCATCTTTGGCTCCCTGTGTATATTTCAGTTTCACAAAACACCTCAGGAGTGATGAAAGCTACAGTCCTGCATCAATTCTTTCCAGTCAGAGTGCTCTAACTGCATATACAGCTGTCACTTGACACACATACCTGCACTTGATAGGAGCAAATTGTTCTCTCCAATTCTTCTTCGATATCCTTGGCACGCCGTCTACATGGAACAAATAGTTACTCCACTGTTCTGACATATAATAAAGAATAACAGCATGTGGCTACAAGAATATTACTGAGTGTTCTTCCTTATTTAATTATAACCACAAGACTCCTCTTTTGAGAGATGCTGACAGGTATTAAAGACCATCTTCTCCTCCCCTAAGTCTAATGTCAATTAAACTATGTGAGCACTATTACTTGGATGTGCCTAACACGATGTCATAAAAATTTACACAGTACAGAAGGTATCAAGCAGCCTGTTCAGGGGCTCAGTTACAGTCTTACCATGCCTCCATCCTAAGTGCAAAAGTCTCAGGCACATGCAAGCATGCCTGATCATCTGGTTTTCATTTTCAGGACTCAAAATCATGAAAGATAAACTCAGATCCTAATAAATTAACAGAGTCCCAGAAAAGGAAATCGTTTTTGTTTGTTTTGTTTTGTTTGTTTGTTTGTTTGTTTACTTCAAGACAGGGTTTCTCTGAAGCCCCAACAGTCCTAGAACTGGCTCTGTAGACCAGGCTGGACTTGAACTCACAGAGATCCACCTGCCTCTGACACCAATGCTCAGCTCAGGAGAGGAACTCTTAAGAGGTAAAAGTATAACTAACTTACTGTCTTTATGAAACAAAAAAGTAATTTGTCCTTTTAGACAAAGCCCAAACTTACCCTTCCTAAGGTTGATAGAAGTGTTTTATGACTCAAATTGCTGTGGTGATCCTCTAACAGACATTCTAGTGTTTCCTCAGGTCCACTGAGGACTGAACCAAAGACTAGCTAAGCATTTACTAAAATTCTAAGAGTGGCTTGTTCATTTCATGGCAAACTTGCTGAATGCTAATACTGTGTATATTCTTTCCCAGCTGAAAAAATATTCATGAATGAGCTTGAATTAACTGCTCATCATGTCCTTCTTGACGACAGGGTCTCACGCAGGTCAAGCTAGTTTCAAGCTCACGATTTAGCCAATATTGGTCTTGATCTTGTGACCATTCTTTTCCACCTCCCAGTGCCAACACACACAACATCCATACCTATTTATAAACTTCTTCATGTTAACATAAAATATGCTTATACTTATATGTCAAAATCCCCAAAAAGAAAATTTTCCTTTTTATATTCTCTGAATATCAATAAAATTCCACGAAATTCAAATACAAAGTAATGAAACAAAAATATGCCAATTCGCTTAGTAGTTGTGTTAGGACACACAAGCCTTTAGTCCTAGCACTTGGTAGGCATAGGCAGGCAGATCTTTGAGTTCAAGGCAAGTCTGCCTCCAGAAAGAGTTCCGGATGGGTCAGGGATACAGAGACCTTGTCTGAGATCAAACAAAACAACAAAGCCATTTTATTTTACTGCTTCCTGATGCCAAGCATCAAAATAAGAAAGAGGATGTCTTACCTATAGGTGTCTAGTTCTTTGTTCACATGGTTGGTTCTCTTGTTGACTTTGAAAAGTTCTTCCTCTTTCTCCAATCGACAATTTTCCTCCACTGTTATTTTCTTAAAAAAAAAAAAAGAGTTTTTCATTCCTTTTAATGTATGTAATCAATATAATCAACTACAATCACAAACAGTGTATCACACAAAGCAATTGCCATACACCACAGCAAAGGCCATGTGCAAAAAAACAAGAAAAAAAAAATTGTGTGTCTCTGATATGGAATTTGGCACTGGGAAAAAGTGTGGTTGCAACAAACCCTCCACTTCTGTGGAACTTCCTGGCTCTGCCCTGAACCCACTGGACCCACCTATCCACTCAGGTACACCTTGATGCTACACTTTGAACCCCACCAACTGGCCTCTGCCAGGGGGAGCAATCTCCAAGAGAACTTGGATTATCCATGGTTGCAGACATCGAACTCCTGACCCAACTACATTCACCAGGACAGCAGCGTAAAGAGAGACAGAAACTCCACATTCACACACTGGAATAAGTGATGGGAAGACAGAAATAGAAGAAAATGCCCAACAATAGAAATAAGAGTATGATAAACCAGAATCTAGGGACTCGACACCAAAAAGAACTAAACATATCAAAACAGATGAAGAAGAGTATGACTTAAAAAAAAAAAAAAGTTCTTAAAAATAACACAGGCCCTCAAAGATGCTATGAAAAAAAAATCCCTTAAAGAAATGGAAGAAATCCAGACTAATGTGGTTTGATCAAGCCAGACTGCCTGAAACAGAGTACAAGGTGATCCTACATTCAAAACAGCTGGACAAAGCAGCCTTACAGACTTCTGCCAGGATTTCTGAATCTTCTTCGAATCCCCCGTAACTGCGCCCCTTACCAGCAGGAAGTAGTTTGGAAAGAACGCCCAAATTCCCAAATATTGTGTATATATGTTTGTTTTCATTTAAATGGACTTTGTTATATAAAATAAATTAAGAAAAGAAATGCAAAAAAAAACCAAACAATAAATTGGAAGAAATAGAGAAAAAGGACACAGAATATATGAGTGAAATAAAAAAAAAAATCTCTTAAAGAAAGTATAGAAAGCAAAGAAAAACAATAAAACAGATGAAGGAAGCAATTCAAACTGTTCAAGACCTGAAAACTGATATAGAGACAATAAAGAAATCCCTAATTGAGGGAACGCTTAAAACAGAAAACCTGGGTAAATGATCAGGAACTACAGACACAAGCGTAACCAACAGAATATAAGAGATTGAAGAGAGAATCTCAGGAGTTGAAGATAAACTACAGGAAATAGATTCATTGACCAAAGAAAATCTTAAATCCAACAAAACGTAGTAGAAATGTGGGATAACATGAAAAGGCCAAACCAAAGAATAATAGGCAGAGAAGAAGGTGAAGAACCCCAGCTCAAAGATGCAGAAAATATATTCAAAAAAATCATTGAAGAAAACTTTCCCAATCTGAAGAGAACTTTTCCAATTTGAAGAAATTATGCTAATGAAAATACAAGAAGCATACCCAAAACCAAATACACAGGACATAAAACAAAACAAAACAAAACAAAAAAACTCCCCTTGACTCATCATAATCAAAACATCTAACATACAGAATAAATAAAAAATATAAAGGACAAGAAGAACAAAGGCCAGGTAATTTATAATGGCAGACCTATCAATCAAAATATCAAAATTACACCTGACTTCTACATGGTAACTCTCAAGGCCAGAATGTCCTGGATAGATGTTCTACAAGTACTAAGAGTTCACAGATTCCAGCCAAGGCTACCATACCCAACAAAACTCTCAATCACTGTAGATGGAGAAAACAAGTTATTTAATGACAAAGCCAGATTTTCACAATACATATCCACAAATCCAGCCATGGAGAATGTTCTGGAAGGAAAACTCCAACACAAGGATGTTAACTACAATAACAAACAACTAGCCAATCGATAACACCCCTTCACCAGAACCCAAATGTAAAAGCATAGGAAATATACACAACAATACCACTGCCAACAACAACAAAATGAAATCTAAAACAAATAAGAATTAACAATTAATGAATGAATGGTCCTTACTTTCCACCAACATTAATGGTCTTAACTTGCATATAAAAAGACACAGTCTAATAGAATTGACCTGAAGACAGAATCTACCCTTTCGGTGTAAAAAAGAAACACATCTAAGCTTCAAAGACAGATACTAACCTAGAGAAAAAGGGTTGGGGAAAGAACTTCCAATCATTTGGGCCCAGGCAGCAAGAAGGTGCAGTTATCCCAATATCTACTAAGTTAGACTTCAAACCAAAATCAACCAAGAAAGATAAAGAAGGCCATTTCATACCCATCATAGGAGAAGTCCATCAGTACAAAGTCTCAATTCTGAACATCTATGCTCCATATACAAAGGCACCCACATATATAAAATAAACACTAATAAAACTGAAAGCTCACATAAACCTCACACATTACCAAACTTTTTATGGGGCTTGTTACACAAGTCACACAAATGCACAAATAAGAAAGAGAACTACAGACCAACATCACTCATGAACATTGATCCAAATATACTATATTAAATACAGGTATATTGAATCCAAATTCACATCAGAGGACTCATCCAACATGATCAAATAGGCTTCATCCCAGGGATGCAGGGATGGCTCAACTTACAAAAATCTATCAATGAGACCCACAATAAAAACAAATGGAGAAGGAATAACAACATTATAATCCCACTAAGATGCTGAAAAGGCCTTTGAAAAAATTGAACATCCTTGGAAAGATCAGGGAAAACAGAAACATACCTAAATATAATAAAAGCAATATATAGTAAACCAACAGCCAACATCATACTGAAAGGAGAGAAGCTTAAGGCAATTCCTCTAAAATGAAGAACATGACAAGACTGCCCTCTCTCTACATATCTCTTCAATAATGTACTTGAAGTTCTAGTTAAAGCAATAAGAAAACAAAGGGAGAACAAAGGGATACAAATTTGAAAGGAAGAAGTCAAAATGTCACTATTTGCAGATGATATGATAGTTTCCATAAGTGGTCCGATAAACTCTACCAGGGAACTCCTATGGCTGGAAAACACATTCAGCAAATTACCAGGATACAAGATTAAGTTAAAAAAAAAAAACCTTATGTCTACTATATACAGACGATGATGTGGCAAAGGAAGAATTCACAGAAACATCTAATGGATCAAAGACCTCAACATAAAACCAGCCACACTTAGAAGAGAAAGTGGGAGGCACTCTTGAACAAATTGGTACAGGAGACAGCTTCCTGAACATAACACCAGTAGCCCAGTCACTGAGATTGGTAATCCATAAATGGGACCTCCTCAAATTGAGAAGCTTCTGTAAGGCAAAGTACACAGTCAGCAAGACCAAATGGCAGTGCACAGACTGGGAAAATTCTTCACCAACCCAACATCTGACAGAGGGATGATCTCTACAATAGACAAATAACTCAAGAAACTAGTTACCAAAACAACAAATGAAGAGAGAATTCTCAATAGAGGAATCAAAAATGGCTGAAAGAGACTTAAGAAAGTGCTTAACAGTCTTTTAGCCAACAGGGAAATGCAAATCAAAACAACTTTGAGTTACCATATTATTCTTGCCAGAATGACTTAACTTAGAAACACCAATGGCAGCTTATGGTGGAAAGAATGTGGGGAAAGGGTAACACTCCTTCACTGCTGGCAGGAGTGCAAATTTGTACAGCCATTTTGGAGATCAGTATTGTGGTTCCTCAGGAAAATCGAAATCAGTTTACCACAAGCCCTGGCAATTCCACCCTTGGGCATATACACATCCATGTTAACAGAGACATCTGATCATCTGTGTTCATAGCAGCAAGAATCTGGAAGCAACCTAGAAGCCCCTCATCTGAAAATTGATAAAGATGTTGTCCATTTACACAATGGAATACTACTACTCTGCTGAAAAAAAAAAAAAAAAAAAAAGAACAATGGAATCTTGAAATTTGTAGGTACATGGATGGAACTTGAAGAAATCATCCTGATTGAGGTAACCCACTCATAAAAGAGGAACATGGTATTTACTCACTTATATATGGATTTGAGACATAGAGCAAAGGATTGCCAGCATATAATTCTCACCGCGAGAGAAACTAGTATACAAGGAGGAACCAAAGACAATAATACAAGGTCCCTCAGAGAAGGGGAAAGGACAGGATCCCCTGAGCATATTGGGAGTGGGTGGGGTCAGTGAGTGGAGTGTCAGGAGAAAGAGAAGGGGAGGAGCAGAGCACATGTGGGACCAGGAAGATTAAATTGGGAGACTAATACATGAGAGAGAAAAAGAAAGAGAATATAATAGAGGGAGCCATTATAAGTTTGAAGAGAAAATTGACTCAGAGACCTACAAGGATAACCCCAATTATCAATCTGAGCAATCGTAGAAAGTCTACCTTAAATTCCCTTCCCTGATAATGAGATAGATAACTAATTTATATGCCATCATTAAGCCCGCACCTAGTAGCTGATGGCAATACAAGCAGAAACTCACAGCTAAACACTGAGCTGAACTCTTGGAATCCAGTTGTAAAGAGGGATGAGTGATAAGAAAAGTGGTCAAGACCAGGCTACTGAAACCAACAGATACAGCTAACCTGAACAAGGGACAGCTCATGGCCCCCAGACTGATAGCTGGGAAACCAGCATTGTACTGAATCAGATCCCTGAACGTGGACCTCAGTTAGAAGGCCTGGGCAGTCTAAGGGACCACTGACAGTTATACCAGGATGTGTCTGTGGTGCATAAAAGGACTTTGGGAGCACATTCCCCGTGGAGGAATACTCCTTTAGCCTAGAAGCAGGAGGGAAGTTCTAGATACTACTCCAAATGATTAGACAGATTTTGATGTCCCCTCTTGGATGGCATCACCCTCCCTGTAGAGTTGGGGGGGGATGGGATGTGAGGGTGTGAGCGGGCCATTATGGAAGGAGGGAGTGGGAACTAGGATCAAGTTTTATTATAGTAAGTCACTATGTTTGTTAGTAAGAGGGCCAATAACTACAAGTATGGCTTGTGTTGTTTTGTTT